CCTTACTTCTGAAGGATTTCCAGTCTTCTGCTTGACTACGAGACGTGAGATCCACGGCGAGTCATGAGGTGCCGGTTCACTTCAGCATTAACGGATTTTTCCTTCGTTGCTATGTCCGTCCGAAACATCTCCGCTATCTTGATCGGATGGCTTCCGTACGCCTTCAAATATTCTTCGTATGTTTTGTTTGGTGATCCACTCAATTACGTTGACTCCAACTCCAGAATCTACAATCCATTCAATCATGATTTCTCCCACAGCACAAGTAACCTTTTCACCACAATTGTAACTACATTTTGAAAGATTTTGAACGTTAGCTGCCCCTGGACCAATTTCAATAATTTTATCATCAATGGGTCAGAAATATTTCTACGCATATGTCAAGGTCATGAATCGGATGTCAGTTCCCATATCAAGATAGAGCTGGAGTAAGGGCGTAATAGCTTTAGTCACCATCAGGTAGGGTAAGACTTCCCCTACCCGACGGTAATGTTGGTTTGCGTGGGCGTGCCCTGAATTCCTAAAAATCATCGAGAGAAGTAATTATTTACATAAACTGTTACGCCTAATTCGAGCTCTATCTAGATATGTTTAAATCTAACTTACCATGTTCTCGATGGCAACCCCCAATGGGGGTACAATTTCAAAAACCAAAGTCGGTCGCGGCATGAACGTGGTCCAGAGATGATGGATTCTAATTCTTAATACACCAATCGATAGGATTTTTTCTACGATTCTGTTAAAATTAAGACTTTATCATTTTTCAAAATGTTACTTTTGAAAACTGCACGAATGTGTAACTGTTGCTATGAAAATTAAAATTATCACCGACTGCTTGCGAAAAGCGATTTCCCTAACACAGATTTCAGAATTGAATTCCATTCGGTCTCACCAAACAGTGTTTATTCAATCACCGCGTGGTGAGTGGTGGTGTTCTCCAGTACACAACGGAAAACTGCCTGCAAGCAGCAAGTTGCAGCCCACATGAGCATCCATAGAAGGAGAAAGCAGCCGCACCGCTTTTGATCGGAATCAGTAGCTCTTCGTAAGTCGCTGTGGGCCATCTATGTCAAGCGCGTAATATTAAAGAATATAAACAGAGAGAACCCCACTCAAATTTCTATTCCAACACAAAACACAAGCTCCTGCTGCAGTTAATAAATTAGATTTTTTATATAAGACCACGTAGTCCTATAGTTCGTATACGTCACCATTGCGTACAATTTCATAGGGCTGTCCCTTGTAGTTTTTCCATCTTGCCGATACGAAACTGCTGAAACTTCGACTTTTAGCCACCGACTGATTCCGTATCCGTTCTACTCCCGGTAGGTCCGAACCGACTCGTCGCCAATGTTGTATTCTATTTCCCGTATTAAATTTACAGAATAAAACTCGAATTTAATCGCCCGAATACTCAACTACGTTGTTCTTTATTTTCGTCAATCAAGTCTGTTCAAGACCAACAGTTTAGTGTGGAACAAAATATCTCTCGCGATACACGGTAAATGAAACATAACAGTCAGTATGCAAGATTTTTAATCAACTACAAGACAAGTATATTACGTTCAGCACCTTCTGATTTTAAGGATAATGGTGAATTTCGAATCCGTCCGCTTATTATTCAGCATTGTTTAGGGAGCGATCTATCAATTGCAATTAATCGGCAAGCAGATTTGGGACGTCCTTTTATCAGATATTTTAGCATCAATAACAAATCTTATAATATACCAGCTGCGTGGTAAAATTCGAGTGGTAAGAAACGTAACTTCCAACAGGCTCGACTGGTGTGATCCATTATCAGCGACCGCGAAGCCCAGTACCAAGTAAGTGATATTCCACTACTGACTTAAGCCAATAGGCCAAATACACAACTTGCAAGCTCAAAAACTTCTTGAATCATCGTTATTATTTCTATAGTTTTCCAGCTGTTCGCTGCTTATCTGCGATACAATTTGTTTCTTCCATTTCTTCCAGTTGTTTCACAAGATACTAACCTACGCTTTCACACATCGCACGAAAAATGGTAATAGGTGAGAATTGAAAAAAAAAATGTTTTTGAAAGAAAAACTATTTAAAAAATAAATCACATCTTCATAGTCTGATAATTGAAAGTTTTTAAAAATGAACGTTGGAGAATATCTGATCGTTTTTCTACCGGATAGTAAAAAGTCGTTAAAACCTATACTTTGCGATCGAACGTGTGTCTATCGCATGCCTACAATTATGTACCGCGAAACTAAACGAATTTCACTAATCCTCTCTGATTTTACTCTTTTTTCGCCCCTTGTAATTCTTATTCTTGTCTGTCTATTTCCGTTTTTGCTTCACTCTGTATGTATATTGTTAAGAAATTGCATTAAAGTACGGATAGTGTGGGATGATGAATAGGGATGTGAGATCGGGGTTTTGAGGGGAGGGGGGTTTAATTTCAAAGCTGCTATACTTGAGTCTGACTACTCTGTAGAACCATACATGGCCGATGAGACTTAGCTTTTTAACTGAGTCAAATTCAACTTCAAATTGCAAAATGTGGGGTTACTCAGTGAATGAGAGAAATTTTTCTCGCTTTTCCAGGAAGAAAATCGACGAAAATTTCATTCAGTCTAGGAGATTGAGTGAAATATCTCTATACTTCCCGCATATTAAAAAAAAATCTTGAAAATCTAGGAGCGTTTTACTAACTATATGAACCACCACACTTTTTGCACTTTTGAGTCGAACTTACTGAGCTACTCTCATTGGCCGTGTATGTGTGAAACAGGAAAATCTCGAGCGAAGCAACTACGAGTTTGATTGACGAGTAAGTAGTTCGTACGGTTTTTGAGACAGCAAATTAGCGAACAAATTTAAAATACCGTAATACACCGGATGCCGGACGGTTCGTTAATCCGGACACTTATTTTTTAATCAACCCTAATAAATATGTGCCATGATTCTTAAGGATACTAGACTCATTCCAGGTGACGTGACACGTGATTACTCTTTCCGTTTAAAACTTATACTAAACTTCATAATATGGCAATGTTCTGTGCATCAATAGAAAGTAGACATGATTTACTTTGTTTTCCAATGAATAGTTATGAATATAGTCACTAAAATCCTGCTACTACAGGGCTACTTCAATTCATTTGGCATATAAACATGTTTTATGGTATTATGGAATCATAAGATGTTATAATGGGCTGTAAGACATTTCGCGAAATTTCTTTTGGCGGAATATTTCTAGACCAACAATTGAAATAGGCGGAACAACCAAACGCAAATTCCTTCAGAATCAAAGCACATCCAAGCAATCTAACACCGTCATCTGATAGAGCAAAGTTCCTTTATCGAATGGCATTGTTAGATTGCGTGGGAGTGTTTTGATTCTCGAGAATTTTGTGTTTAAAGCCATTGTTTACGTTTGGTTGTTCCGCCTATTTCAATTGTTGTTCTAGATTTGTTGACTGAATAACTTGAAGTATGTTTTGCAGTGGCGTTTCCTTAACCTTAATCTACCTGTGCACCAACTCTCAAAACATAAACAATTATCAAAATATTACTTGCAATGGATAGATATCGAGTAAACTAGAAGATTAGGTGTATTTTTCAGCCGATTCGAGTATGAATATGGCATTAAATCTGGTTTTGAAAGTTGGTGCACAGGTAAAAGTGAGATTACGGGACCCCACTGGTTTTGACTATTGATCTTAATCATGATAATATAGGCCAATTTTCCTACTTTTAAACATGAGCAGTTCTTTCTAATTATGTGAAATCTGAATTCAATGATTTTAGGAGTGTTTCCTTTCTTTTAAACTTGAGTTATAATAGTTCTTTCGAGTTTTCCTGCACACTTAAACAGAGATCCTGAGTTCGGTAAAAAAAAATTACCGTTTTAGTTCGGTAATTCTAAACATCACAGATGTTTCGGTATTTTCTCGCTTTATTGCTGAAAACTGTAAATAAAATTACCGAATTTCCGTGATTTCATTTCAATTCAACGAAAACGGTAAAAAAAATTACCGGCAGATCTGTAAATCAGCTTCATCACTGACTTCGGTGAAATATTTTACTGAAGTTTCGGTAAACAACCCGTTCCATTACCGAGTTCGGTAGTTTTCACAGCGAGAAACGTCAAATTCACCATGTTGTGATTTTCGACCTTCTTAAAAAAAATCACGTGGTTCCAAACGAGCCAAGACTGATGACGCAGTATTGAACAATCCCCTATCAGGTGTTGTAAAATGGATACAGGTGAGACGTATGGTATAATAAAAATTAGTTGCTTTATTGATATTTTTTGTTCTAGCCCGAAGATGATTTTCCGCAGGATAGTGGAAGCATTCCACTATTGGTAGTGCGAGGAAATTTCCCCGACGTGACGGATGGATGTGCAGTATGCTGGGATACCATTGCTATTCCCGTTGGCGACGATCTAAAATCAGCATTTGGGATCTTCATCCAATGCTTCCCTGTTTTCGGTGTACCACTGAATCCTTCCGACAAAAACTTTTTTTTTTGTTCATCGGTTGAGCAGTTTTCAACATCAACACATTGACCACAACTGGAGCCAAATTTTTGCATGGATTGCAATAACTGCCAGCTACGTGTAAGTTTTACATAAAACATGTCCGTAAGAATTGAATAAAATAAAGACTAAGGAAAAATGTATTTAATTTAAATAATTGATAAAGCCAAGAAAACACCTTGAAACAATATAAAGGCGAATTAAATTTGAGTCGGTAAACTTTTTTTTAAATTACATATCTTTCGGTCATTTTCATTTTCCATATCAGCTCCAAAATTACAGTTCTCCGGTAAAATCAATTACAAATCAAGCTTGTTTTTTCGGTAAACGTTACCGATCGTTCGGTAAATTTGACAGCTAGTTTTGCTGATTCAGTTTACAGATTTTTCGGTAATGTTCTCGATTACCGAACACATTACCGACCGTTCAGCTGTTGAGAATTCGGTAAATGAATTACCGAAGTCGGTAATTTTTTCTAAGTGTGTGTACTCCTAACCTCCAACACAAAATGTGTGTAAGGCAATAATCAAAATAAAATTCGTTTCACGAAATTCCGCGAAATGTCGTACAAACGTTATAATGCTATTTTGTATTTGTAAGTTACAATAAGAATTTGTACGGAATGTGTTGTACACATAAAACCTGTCAATTTTGCGTTTTTCTGATCGCTGTTCGCGAAGAATGAAGAATGGGTGCGAGAACATTATAAAATCGCTTATTACAACCATCATAAAGGGAAATTGGCAGGTTTTATTTTTGACAGTGGAGGCGTGGTGGGGGGGGGGACACACACCCCTCACCATCCCTCTCCAAAGGGGGAGTTTGGTAAAGAGAGATGAAAAAACCGATTTGTACCTTCCTTAAAAGTTGTCCTAACTCGCTGTCAACTCTCTATATGCAATTTTCACACTGCCGTACTCTAACGGAACTATCAACTCTATGCTTTCATCTACTCCATCTATCGTATAAAAATTACCACTAGTCTGTTATTTGAAATTAGCATCTTCAACTAGGTTTTATTTATCAAACTTCTTGTTACTTTCAAATACAAACTATCAAAATATTTTATGATTCCATATTTCCATAACACATTTTTAATGCGAAATCAATGGAAGTAACCCTGACAGAAGTAAAACACTGCGTGCCGTGACAACATGACCTAATCATAGCATTATTTCGACTTTAACTCCATTTTAAGAGAAATGTTCGGTAAATATAAATGTTGTGATATTACTAATATAATTTCAAACATATTTTTTAAGCATTGTCCAAAGTAAACATCAATTTAAAGCAATTTCAACACAGAAAATAAGAAATCTAGTTGAAAATTCACGGTGAAGATTCTCATGGAATATCCAGATTTCGGTGCATTACGGTGCTTAATGTTTAAAGAGAATTTTAGAATGTTCGAAAAACTGTCTGATATCCGAAAAAAAAAAGTTCAATACACATTGTGCCTGACGTCAAGATTCGTCTGTAAGTAGCCGCTTGAAAACCTCATATTCTCGCCGATCAAACTCAGCACTCGAATCAACTCGATAAGGTAAATAGGTAGGTTTGTCGATGTATCTTAAGTCGTGGTGAGGGACTGAAGAAAATAAATTATACACTATACCTTTATTTTCCTACTTGAAGGAGCCTTCTGCATATCACTCCCAGGGTTGGGTTTGTCATTCGTCTATTGCCAAATGCCCGCGTAGTTACCTATGAGCGTAGCCGGAAGGGGACCTCCGGCCGTAAACAGTCTGGTACCGCTGCTATCGTAACAGTGTGTGTAGATAGCCGGAACGTATTTGATTTGCTGGAAGTTGTCGATCTCCTCTTCGGGAAATTGTGCCTGTAGCAAGGGAAACACACATCAATTTAGACACTTACTTTTCGAACCCAGTTCAGCGTCGGATGTCACACAGTATACTCACTACGTAGCCTCGGCTGGCCTTTAGCACTACCGTGCGAGAGGCGCTGGTTTGCGATTCGAGATACTTTCCAGCACGAATGTCGTAAAACATCAACATTCCCAGTCCCGTTCCGATGGTCAGAATGTTACCCTGGAAACTGGCCGAGCGAATACCGCAACCACTATAACGGGAGGCGATCTTTTTCACTGCCTGTGGATAAGAACATTTCGATTAAAAACTGGATAAGGAGTGTCCTTCAAAACGCCAGCTACGAACCTGCAGTGTTCTCGGATCCAGCAGCAACGTATACGACCGACAACCGACTGCGTACAGGCCGTTAGGTTGGCAAGCAATGCATACATTCTCCTGACAGTTCGGTAGCTTTCGGGACAGCTTTTGCGAAAACGTTTCCGCATTGAACAGGTGCATATATCCGTTGAGCGAAAGCAATGCGATTTCCCGATACTCTTTGTGGAAGCAAAGTGCCCGGATCTTCTGTGCTCCCCGGCATTCCTTTATCGCAACCGGACTAATGTGTGCATACTTCGGGACAGCTTCCTGTTCTTCACCTTCCTTGGCGACGGGAAATTCCATATTGTCTTCATTGATGCGCCACAGGGCAACTTTGGTATCGCGAGAACCGGATACCAGAAATTGATCATCCAACCAACACATATCGAAAACCCAATCTCGATGGCCGTTCTCGCCAATGCACAAGGGATCAAGCGTTGGAAGTCGATATATGGCAATATCCGCCGAATGCCGAGCTCCCGTCGCCAGCCAACTGTGGCTCGGATTAATCTGACATGCGTGAATTCCGGACTGAGTATCTGGACTTGCTCCACGGCTATTTGGCAATGTTGGAATCGCATCGACTTTTCGGGTGTTTACGTCGTACACCATCAGCTTGTTACATTTCGTACCAAACACCACCTGAAGAAGGAAAACAGTCACTTTATAGGTACAACAAATCCATAATCCATTCGTTCCTACCTGCCGATTACTGAGCCACTGCGAACAGAAAACCTTGTTGATGTTCCCCAGCGCGATAGGGGTTTCCTTGAACATATCATGGGTCAAGATATGCCTGCTGGCATAAGCCGGATCTACGCTGCGTACTTCCTGTAAATCAGACTCCCGACTGCGAACGTAGTCCACAAAATTGAACGACGTACTTAGGACCTGATGCTGTTGAGCTGGAGTTTCCTCTTCACTATCACTGTCCTCGTAGGTGACAAAATCATCCGGTTTGTCGGGTTTTCGTCTTCGCTCCTGTCGCAGAATCCGTGCCCTCTGCCGTCGGTCGTCCAAACGAGAGGGAATGTAGCAGTTTGGATAGATTCCAGCCGCGGGTCGTTTCACAGTTTTGGACATTTCTTGCGTTTGCTCGTTTGCCTTGATAACCGGGGTGCTCTGCCACCAAAAATGGAGCCTTAAAGTACGCAGCACTAACGAGCTCTCTTTGTGTCGCACTTTGCTGTCGATATCAGAACATTTTTCACGGTTTGCTCACACTCACTCCATACGGTATAATATCCGCAAACAATACAATTCACCAACTAAGATCGAGAAAATGATTTTAATCAAACTTTTTCGGATTTTTCGTCGACAAAAATTGATTTAGGTGAAAGTTTATGATTATCGAAAAATAATACTCTGATTCAGATGTCTTCTTGACAATTCTGGCTTGTACGGGTTTGGCCGAATATACCGAAGCGGGCGTTGTTCCGAAGTCGGTACAAACTGGAATATTTTTCGGAACCTAACAAATGCCAATTGATTGGACGTTATAAGCTACACTCCAAAGATTTTTAAATCTAAATAGATTAAAAGTTACGCTAAATCTAGAAAACGAGATAAGTATAAAAATTGATTACGCGTCAGAATGTATTTTCTGCATGTATTAGAGACTTCTGAGTGGATTCTGTTTATATGTGGACACATGAAAACCATGTGGAATTTAACATGGAAGCCAAACAAATGTGTCGAATTTTATGAGTGTACACTCAAAAATATTACAAAACCAATATTGATTAAATTTTATGCATTTTATTATTAATCAAAATCTATACATTGGTCCGATTAATATTTTCTTCAAAACTATACTAAGTCCGATTATCGGAGTGGAATTCGATCAGTGTATACTAAAACGATCAAAAATGACAATGTCAAACACGATGGCACTCGTAGTCGTTTTTCAGTTCACGTTGAAGGTGATAACGTTCTCAAATGGTTCTGCAAACATCGTCCGCTCATTGATCGAAAGAAGCATACACAGCAAAAAAAGTTGTTGAATATTACATCAAAACTGCTGCAACCAGGCCAATCCATCGGTTGTGTAATATCACATTGTATGATGTACATCGATTTTGCGAACAAAATTACATCCATTGATGTAATATTGTATCTGCTTTTTGCTATTACATCATTATTTCATACATTAGCTTGAATTACGTTGATAGATATTACATTTTTTTTTGCTGTGTATAAGCCTGCCGGAAGTGGAATCAGAGCGTGCCATCAATGGCAACCCTGTATCGATTAGCCAATAAACTGCTGATGCACAGTAGTTTCTTCTATCTGTTCGACTTAACGGCCAAAGCGTTGCATATAACAATTCCGGTGGACCCAAGTTTTAGCCGCTTATCAAAGATCAAAACGGCGGGTAATGATAAACCTGGGTTTCGATAATGATAATTTATGGTATGCTTTTGCTTTAATTAAAACTTTAATTTTTATTTGAAAACAATTATATTAAGCATTAAACGAAAAAGAAGCAGAAAATACATTCCCTCGAATAAGCCGTATGTATGCATTGCAAGCATATTTCGATTTTATACTATGGCAGGTATAAATCATTTTTAAGGTATTAGTACACGAGACAAATATTTGTCTTAATTTGACAGATACATTAAATGTATCTGTCAAATTAAGACAAATATTTGTCTCGTGTACTAAAACCATAGAGGTAACTCTAAGACCAGAAGGTCCCGAAATAACGTGCTCAACTTTTTGGCTCAGCTCTGGTACTATCTTCGGTCCCAAGCTAGTCGAATCACACCTCGAAACATAGGAAAAACCAATAACCCCTCATTTTATCTGTCAAACTTTCATAGCGAATCAAAACAAACATTGCGTAGTACTAGAATTTCGAATAGAATGGGATACGTTAATCGTTTGCTTGGGACCAATAGGCTAGTCAAGTAGTGAGCCAATTTAAAATCGTTAGTTTCGTATTGATTGTTGCTAATACCTTTATACTAAGTCTGTATTCTCTCCTTTTATACCGACCTTTGCGTCGGCACGGAGAGTTGCGATTTAGCGTAACTTTTATACTATTTAGCTTCCAATATTTTTTGAGTGTAGGAAAATCCACTCACCCCTTATTTTATCTGTCAAACTTTCATAGCGGATAAAAGCAAACATAGTGTAGAACTGGAATTTCGACTAGATGAGGTACGTTAATCGATTTGCTTGGGATCAATAGGCTAATCAAGTAGTGAGCTAATTTAAAATCGTTAGTTTCCACCCAGGGGTAAGTCACTCTGCCACCTTGTGCTAACACCCACAAAAACACACTTCGATACACTTCAAACACCCACTAACACACGTCCGTCGCATGAAAAGCTAATGTTTTCATGAATTCTGGCACCACTGCTATTAATTTTTACGTTTGTTGATCAATTGGCGTTGACTACGACTCTGTAAACGTAATACTGTGCGTGAAACATGACAGACTTTGTACTATCCTTTCACTCCACCCAAACTTTCCCATAAGAAACTGTCTAAATTTGCTGGAAGAGCAAATTTTTCAACGGTGCCGTCAACGCTAATTTAGTTGTTTTCTTCTTCCAAGAATCAATCTCTTCAAATAGAACAGTGAAGTATTCTTCGTCACCAGTGGTTGCTGCTGTTGCGGTGGCATTTCAAATTTGTCGAATTTTCTACCGGGGGACAGGTATCAGAATTTCATTTAATCTTCAGCGCGTTTGGCTTCGCTTTCCCTGAGTTGCTCTACGGACGTACGGCTGTTTATTTGGACTGTATAGAGATAGGAGCATTGTCAGGACATATTTTGGGAATCTAGCAGGTAAGTGTTAGATCTCATAAGTTAGGATTATAGCTAATGGAATATATTATTTTCTAGATGGTTTGCAACATTGTGCAGATGAACTCGTTCCTAGAAAGCTACCTAATCAATTTGGAACGAATTCTCATCTCCACTAAAAATGTAAAATAAATCGACATAGTGAAACAAGCTGGACGAGAAAGCAGCGGAACACCTACGTGAAGATGCCAAGGATGGTGACCATCTGGAACAATTTCGGAGGAAATTAAACGAGAGAGGTCCTAAAGTTGGGTAAAAACGATTAATACCAGAAAAGAATAAAATGTTTTATAATTTAGTTGTGATGAGAACTTCTAATGATTAAAATAAACTGTTAATGAAAAAAATCTTCCAAAATCTTGATATTCACCGATTTCACATTGATCGAGCCATTCTCATTCATCAAAACGGATTGTACAGCTTCTCAACTGTTCGCAGGGTTGGTCATGAATTGTCAATTTTCACATTCAAAATGAATCTGAAACTAGCATTAAAAATATAGTATATGAGTCACGCTTGAATGCCATGATTAAATGACATAAAGTTTACCTTATTACATGACAATTGATTCCATATTCGTTGAAGGTCTCATCGATGCTCATCAGCAAGATTTTGTTATCCTTCATCACCAACAACCCGTGGATGCCGCGTCTACGCTCCGGATCTGGTGGCTCGGCATTGTTCTTTTTAGCTTCATCCTTTAGCATTCGCTGGTCGATGTGGAACTTTTCTTTTATCTTTTCCTTCAAAACATCCATATTTATCGCTACGACCAACATTACATTCTTGGGTTCACACTACTGGATCTGCATTAGCACTGAAACCAGGACTGAAACTCATGTATTCGATCGACATCTTAAATTCAACCACCTGTCGATTCTCGAACTCCGACTTTTTCGCTCCACTGAAAATCTTGTGTCCGACCGTTCCCTGGCCCTAATCAATTTGTTATGGTTATTTTGCTCAACGACGTTTTTGGGGTATCATCCAAACCATTTGTGGAAAAGTTCGACTGTTGGGGTTATTGTTTATGGTATTTGTTTATTAGGAGGACGCAATAATATTATTTTTAGGCGTTTATTTCGTCTTCCTCCTGCAGTGAGAGGGCCAATGCCCGTTTCAAGGACAAATCTGTACACAATCAAATAAAAAGGAGCCGCAGGAGGATCTGTCATTATCAGTGATATGTTATGGTTCACACAGAGAAATGGCTGAGTGGTGCGAAGTGAAATTTTCTTCATGTTGGTAGTGTTGAAATAAACGTTTCATCACCGTCGGTTGGTAGAGAGAAGTGTCAACCGGCTTTTTGTGCAGAGCCGATTCGTGACTTTGTGATTGTTTGTTGACATTGTTCATAGCTGGAGTTTTTACGGAGTGGAATAAAATTCAGAATGAAGTATTTTGCTCTCTTTTGCAATTATAAAGATGGACACGACGAAAAGCGAAGCCTATTCAGGTTTCCCAAGGATTCAGCAGTACGAAAAGAGTGGCTCAGTTTCTGTGAGGGGGGGGGGGAGTCAAGAAAGAATAAAACCCTGACACATCCTCTACCTGACTTGCAATCAAACATAGTAATTTTTATTTGTATAAATTGTTGCAAATCAGATGCAAATTTAATGTGGCCGACGATATCTATGGAAGTGCTGTCGAAATTCCCTGGGACCTCCAATGGCAACGATTTGACTTCCCTCCAAATCGCGTGAAACTCGAACATGAAAACTCTATAGAACCCCCGTAGAACCTCGCTGGCAGCAACTAAAATATCCACTGAAACCTCTTCTGTCGCGGGAAAAATCTGTTGAAATTTCCTGGAACTTTTGTACTATCATCACAAATCTCCTTAGAACGTTCTCCGAAGTCACAGTCGTTCCTGAGCGAAAAAAAATCGGAGGGGTTTTTTTTCAGCGCAGGAGTCTACTTTGGTCCAAAATACGCAATAATACTGTTATTTTTAATTGTTTGAGTCGTTTCAAATCACGAAAAACATTACTGAAAAATATTTATTTTTTATTTTGGACGATAACAATACTTCTATCTATTTCAACGAACCACAATGATAAAAAAGTGGTTCGATTTGACAGCTCGAAAGTGGTTCGATTTTGAGGTCCGTCTTCGCACCACTCAGAGAAATGGTTTTTAAATTCAAATGGATATATTTTTGACTCAGGGCCTAATATATTTGTGATATTGTTTCAAATATGTTATTCGGTTAATTCAACGAAAAATATTTTTGAATCAACAAACCGGTTGTAGAGTCAATAATCTGCTTGTTGATTCTAAAAACTATTTTGTTGAAATAGTGATACAATATTTTTGAATCAATAACCGAGGGGCAATTCACTGCTCTCAAGAATGAATCGAAAATACGTTTATGAAAAAAATACACAAAAATTCATCATTACTCGTCATTACTAAAAAAAATGCAAAAAAATACAAAATTCGGAAAAAAATACAAAAATATTCGACGAATAATAAAAATACACGATAATTCGTCATTTGGACGAAAAAATCGAAAATATGTACAATCAAAATGCTGAATTCGAACAAAATGCGTAAATTTATTATTTTGTATTTTAATCCGAACTCGAATCACAAAACAATGCATTAATGAGTAGAATTTCGCCCATTTTTAAGAAAAGTGCCTTAAATCATTTATTAAATAAAAAAAAACATTTTGAGTAGTTGTGAGCCACAAACAAGTAACGATTATTCATTAATGCGTAACAGATGCTTATTAATGCGTAATGAGCGATGTAAGGGGCTGTTCATAAACTACGTAGACAATTTAGGGGGGGGTATGGCAATTATCCGCGGCCCATACAAATTTTAAAAATTTTGTCTGGACAATTGTCTACGCAGGGTTTGGGGGCGGAGAAACCTAAAAAAACTGTCTACGTAGTTAATGAACAGTTCCTAATGAGTTAATGAGTTAAGCCTCTTTTCTTTAAAATGGGTGAAATTCTACTCATCAGTGGGTATTTTAAAGTTAGCGTGTGTTGTGCATTTGTCAAACAAAACGTCAACATTGTGAGTTTGATCCGTTTGATCCTCGGTTCGAGTGGTAAACATAAACACTGAAATGGCAGAATACACTTATAACTGATTTCCAATACATTAATGCATAAAAATACACTTTTATTTTTATAATACACAAAAAAATACATATATTCAAAAAATACAAAAAAATACATTATTACACAAAATACACGTTCATTCGATAAAAAATACTTCAATACGTTCATCAATGCGTTGGCCTGAATCGAAAATACACAAGTGAATCGCCCCTCGTCAATAACAAAATACATTAGGCTCTGAAACAAAAATCCATTTTTCTGCGTGTTGAGAAAATGGTTGCCAGTAAATATTTTTTCTTCGGTTGTAGTTTTGACAGCTCGGTCAATAGGATGAAACACCTAGAAACACCTTCCAGCTAAAGCCCTACAGTAAAAGTATGGACGACTGTCACCACAAAACTGAAAAAAAGCTGTTCCAATCGAGCAAAGCGGTGCATTTTGACGGTTCGATTGGAACAACTTTTGACAGACGTCCATACTTTTACTGTAGGGCTTTACTTCCAGCACCCAAAAACACACATGAAACACAATAAGCACAGACACAAGGTGTTAGAGTGACTTAACCCCTGTTTCCACCTGTTGTTAATACACATTTAAATTTTGTTGCCGAATTTGGTACAGTGAAAGACGTACCGAGATTCAGCTAACAAACGGGAATTTTGCAGAGATCTCCAACAAACAGAAATTTTCATGAAATCTCTGTAAAAATAAATTGCCGAGCTGCTCGGTGGTGCCAATTTCGGCAAAAAATCTAAGTGTGTAGTATTCTTTATTTAAGAGGTAACTCTAAGACTAGAAGGTCCCGAAGAAACGTGCTCAACTTTTAGGTTTAGCTTCGGTCCCAAGCTAATCAATGCACCCCTCGAAACATAGGACGAACCCACGAACCCCTCATTTTATCGCTATGAAAATTTATCTATATTCCATCTCATCTAAACTTTCATAGCGAAACATAGTGTAGTAGTAGAATTTCGATTAGAATGGGGTACGCTTAAAGATGTACTTGGGACCAATAGGCTAATCAAGTAGTGAGCCAATTTAAAATCGTAAGTTTCCACCGGCACTCAATTTTGCATGCTGTATGGAGTAAAATGAGTAAACTGGCTTTGTTCCAATGAGTGGAATCTATCCAGATTCTGGGTGAAAGATTCTGATATCAATTTTTTCTAAGTATATTTATTCATACAAACAGGCCGCCATTACCGTACTGATAAACCGACATGAATGACCATAGCAAAAACAGTAAAATCACAGACAAACAGACATAACACATTGTATATTTCTCACTGTAAAACATCGTCGCTAAAACATTACCGCCATCTGTTGAGTACACTGTTGTGGGTAGTACGCTGAACAGATGGCGGTAGTGTGTAAACGTCAAACGCAAGGGAATTGACTATGCGCGCCACAGGTGGCGGTACTACCAACTACGATACTTTTAAATTGACCGTTAAATGCTTGTTCGATGAACAACTTGGGAGAGTTATGTCTGTTTGTCTGTGGTAAAATTATTGATCAAAGAACACTATTGACATCTGGCTCCATGTTCGCGGGAAATATTTAACTATGCCATGAACCCGCTTGCAAAAGTTATGGATTGGTTCGTGTCTGATCTATTCTGGACAAATTATTTTTATCTAGATAAAAAATCCTACACGCTATTTCAAAACTACCCAAATTTGGGTAAGATCCACCCAGATCCGTCAAAACTGAACCTACCCAAAAATGGGTAAACTGTGTTGGAGGTGACAAGTTGACAAATGAACAACATTAACATCAATCCGATCGACGTTGTTCATTTGTCAACTTGTCACTCCCAACACAGTTTACCCATTTTTGGGTAGGTTCAGTTTTGACGGATCTGGGTGGATCCTACCCAAATTTGAGTAGTTTTGAAATAGCGTGTATGGTTTTGACAGTTCGGAGCACTGCACATTTAAATCGGCCGTTTACAATTTTCGGGCATAAGTCAGAATTAAGTGTCTTGTCGGTGATTACCAAGCATGGAAAGCTGGATAAGTTAGATTCATTTGCCGTGATTCTCTCTTTGAGTTGCTCTCTGTGGTCGTGTAAAACCCTACAATTGCCATTTATGAAGAATAGCCCTGTGGCTGAAATCATTTAACAATAAATCAACAATAAACAAGAACGTACGTTACATGTTCCTTCAATATTTCTTAAAAGTGAGTAAAAATCTACTCTCTTTCGGTAAAACTGGAACTACTCTAAAGTGAGTAAACCTATAGTTACTTTGTGCAGTATTACCATAGAGGTATTACTGAGAAATGAGTAAACAATGTTTTTAGACAAACAGAGGAGAAGTTACTCACTTTGCTAAATCAATGTTACTCAGATTTTGACATTTTGTACAAAAATATCAAACTGAGTAGAAGTTACTCACTTTTGAGTAACATTGAGCAAGCGTGTATGAAAAGGGATTTTTGTTCTTTTTATTTGATGCTGTTGTTAATAGTGAAGAGGGTGAAGAGTGATATTAGCTTTTTAATTCGCGTTAAGCAGAACTAAAAATCAAACATATAGGTATGGTTCCACAGTCAGCAGTGCAAGAGATCGAGGATTTCTTCGGAGTGTACTTGTTGGTGAGCAAAAATGCTAACCCAAAGTTTGCCGGTCAAACGTACATCGGTTATACCGTTGACCCCAACCGCCGGATAAAGCAGCATAATGGCGGCACGGACGCCGGCGGGGCTAAGCGGACATCCAAGCGTGGTCCTTGGTGAGTCCTTGACATTTCTTATTAACCATGTACACTCAGGTCTTTTTTTTACACGGGGGATATGTACCGTGTAACAAAACCTACCGAGATTTTGATTTTTCACATGCTTAAATGTTTTTCAAAAATCGGATTTTAATGCCATTTGTAATTATAGCATGCTATGGTCCATATATACATTTGAAAAATTTCTGTATTTACACCAAAAATTGTGATTTTTTTAAAGTATGCCATTCGATTACCATTATGTCGGAAATTCGAAGTCACCCAAATTTGAGATTAGCTTACTTATAACCCTTAAATGCATGATTTTTTATTTTGGAATAATTTTTTTTCTTGTGATATATATTGCGCTTACTATTAAAATGTTGTTTCACTATGTTTAAAGACAAACATAGGTATGTTATCAATTGGCAACACTATGCATTTAAGGAATAAACCACATAAAGTGCAGGAATCAAGGAGCTGCCAGCATGTTTCTGTTGTCTGCTATTGATCACATGCGGTTTAAAAGTGGAAAAGCTTCGGCGTTCACCTCTTTGTTCACTCTTTTGTCAACCTCAAATATTCACAAGCATTCCCAGCAATCAAGAGTTCATGAATAATCGACGAAGCATTATAATACACTAGCAACCCCGCAATCAGATACTATCGTAATTTTCAGGAACGTCAGGAATGCATTGAATATTATATTCTAAATGCTCCGTATTGCGAGGGGCATGCTATACAAAGAACCGGTGCGTTGAAGTTAAAATCGTTAAAATCCAATCAAAAGTACTTTAAGTAATTATTGTGTTTTGAATTAGTACTGACGGTAATTAAATTGTAACTAGCCCCGTAACGTGGGTAGATCACCTTTTCGTGGTACGTTACGGGATGTAAGATCTACCACCGATTCCTAGTCTTGACTACTTCAAACTAGGGGAACAGGATTTTACAGTAATCAAAGGAACACATCTTAGTCCTTGTTACTTTTTATGCCTTGTTGATAGTGATAAGTCCTCGGGTTGCGTGGACCGAGGATGATCTTGAAACAAGGAAAAAATGAGTTAGTTAGTCTTCACCTATGTGATTCCTAATCTTCTATTCGTTGTTTCCTAGTTTGAAGTGGTTAAGACTAGGGTTCTGATGCATGGTCATTATCGGTGTCATGTCTTGTTTTTTTTGCTAAGGAATCCAATTTTGACTGACAAAGGGGCGCGCCTTTGGAGGGTGTTTCAACATTCCGAAGGGTATAAATAGCGGGACCTTTCAATTAGAATCGATTCCTTGCGATAAAGGCAAGAATGACAACTGTATCAAAACCGAATACTTCATCATTTCTCAATAGTGATGGAGTAATACGACATGCACTAAACTAAGGACACGGGATATACTACAATAGATCAAATTACTGGTCGCAGTGGTTTTATGTCCCGAACAGAGGAAAAAAAAAATTAAATTGTACTATCCGCACTTAATGTAATTAAAAGTATGGAAAATGTAATCAACGTACTTTAATTACAAAATTTCGACTGTAATTAATGGACTTAAAAAGTAGTTAGTGTTCTACTTTGTGTAATTTATGTAACTAAAGCAGTAGTTACTGGAATTAATTTAATTGCAGCCGTTGCCTGCGTTGGAGTTAAAGGTTATTGCGTGCCCCTAGGCGTATTGGTCGTTCCGCTTGTAGTGTAATATTACGTTATACGATGTACACAGATTTTGGCAACAAATCATTTTAGTGATTGTAATATTGTATCCCTTTTTTACCATCAATGAGTTCAATACATCATCATGAATTTTTTTCACATTGATTGATACTCTTCAAATTACCCTACAATAAGCGTTTGTCCTCAATTAGCTCTAATCCCATATGCTACGTGTATTCGTTAATGCCGGTTCCTATAGTGCGGTCCTGAGTGGTGCGAAGTGAAATTTTCTTCATGTTGGTAGTGTTGAAATAAACGTTTCATCACCGTCGGTTGGTAGAGAGAAGTGTCAAACGGCTTTTTGTGCAGAGCCGATTCGTGACTTTGTGATTGTTTGTTGACATTGTTCATAGCTGGAGTTTTTACGGAGTGGAATAAAATTCAGAATGAAGTATTTTGCTCTCTTTTGCAATTATAAAGATGGACACGACGAAAAGCGAAGCCTATTCAGGTTTCCCAAGGATTCAGCAGTACGAAAAGAGTGGCTCAGTTTCTGTGAGGGGGGGGGGGGGAGTCAAGAAAGAATAAAACCCTGACACATCCTCTACCTGACTTGCAATCAAACATAGTAATTTTTATTTGTATAAATTGTTGCAAATCAGATGCAAATTTAATGTGGCCGACGATATCTATGGAAGTGCTGTCGAAATTCCCTGGGACCTCCAATGGCAACGATTTGACTTCCCTCCAAATCGCGTGAAACTCGAACATGAAAACTCTATAGAACCCCCGTAGAACCTCGCTGGCAGCAACTAAAATATCCACTGAAACCTCTTCTGTCGCGGGAAAAATCTGTTGAAATTTCCTGGAACTTTTGTACTATCATCACAAATCTCCTTAGAACGTTCTCCGAAGTCACAGTCGTTCCTGAGCGAAAAAAAATCGGAGGGGTTTTTTTTCAGCGCAGGAGTCTACTTTGGTCCAAAATACGCAATAATACTGTTATTTTTAATTGTTTGAGTCGTTTCAAATCACGAAAAACATTACTGAAAAATATTTATTTTTTATTTTGGACGATAACAATACTTCTATCTATTTCAACGAACCACAATGATAAAAAAGTGGTTCGATTTGACAGCTCGAAAGTGGTTCGATTTTGAGGTCCGTCTTCGCACCACTCAGGTGCGGTCCCTATATATTAACCGTGCTATAGGAATCTTGACTGTATTTTTTTGCTGTTTACATAATAAAGTGATGGGCGGTGCTAAAATTCCTAAAAATAGACTGGGCTACTCCAATTAAAAATAACATAATCGAACAATAATCCAAATGATTGAACTATTCCACAAATGGTTTGGATGATACCCGAACACGCCGTTAAGCAAATTAACCATACCATTTTTATTAGGGTTTTATCATACGGGTCCGTATTTCTGATAAATTCAATCAATACTGAATATTTCGTAGAACCGGCATCACTGACTTGCATTTGTTTTGTTTTTATTCAACACATGCTGCAGCTGACGCGTTGACAGACCGAGGGAAAAGCAACTAGTGAAAAAAATGCATGGACGAGGGATGTTTCGTTTGCAAATCAATGCTTCGGAATGTGCAAGATAGAGGGTGCTAGCACAGACAAACAGACATAACACATTGAATATTCATCATTGTAAAACATCGTCGCTAAAACATTATCGCCATCTGTTGAGTACACTGTGGTGGTTAGTACGCTGAACAGATGGCAGTAGTGTGTATCGTCAAACACAAGGGAATTGACTATGCGCGCCACAGATGGCGGTACTACCAACTACGATACTTTTAAATTGATCGCTAAATGCTTGTTCGTTGAACAACTTGCGAGTATTATGTATGTTTGTCTGTGGTGCTAGTGTGCACGCTTGATGATATTTTTTGAAGAATTTTCTTCTAAGAGTTACTATGTCTGTTTGTCTGTGCTGATACCGTCGAAGCTGATTGAGCGAGTACCTGATTTTCTCGAACTATCAGAGCCGACCAAAACTTTAGACTTGCCTCACTAAAAGTAAGGCCTATGCTTCTAATGTAGTACGACTAGGGATCATAATAAAGCTTGAGGCTAGTTTCCCTTCTAAAGTGAGAGTAAAACACTACTCATTCAATTTATTCAATCAATATGTTTATATATATGTTGGCCTATGGATCTAAGATTGTTGGGCCCATCGCTAAAAAGTTGCTATTTATCAATTTTATCTAGATGAGATGCGTCATTGGAACGGTACTAATGGATATTTTTGGTCGCTTTTGAAAATTTAGTCGATTGCTGAATTTATGTATGGGCCCAAATAAGGGGCATTTAGGCCGACATTACATCCATTTCCCCTACTAGTTTCAAATATTAAAAATTCTACTCCTGCTAAGATATGCTCATGCTATGCAGAGAGAAAAAGACGAACTTTAACTTTTCTAAAACTTATTCCTGCTTCACTATCAGTTACTATTGTAGATGCATTTGAGACCAAGGTAAATCTTATCTGCGCATAGACGAGCCCGCATAAACAATAACCATAAGAAGCGCTTAAGCACCATTTCGGGATATCATCCCAACTTTATGTGGTATGGTCGTTCCATCTATGATATCGTATGTGTAAGGTACCCGTTTATTAGGGAGTGCACCGATGAATTTGAGTTCATGCACTGATGGAAATTTGACAGGGGAGCAGGGCAATGTTTACTAAAAATGAACACTAAATGTTCATTATTAATGAACATTGCCCCACTCTCCTGTCAAATTTTCATGAACCCAAATCCGTCGTCTATAGACGAGTGCAAGGGTGAACTTTTGTTCATCTACTGAAATAAAAATTACACAACAGCGGGGCCCTGTTTACTAAAAATTAACACATGAATAATACTCGCGTAACATTTGAAAAGGGTCTATCATCTTTTATAAATAATTTGCTAGGTCATTTTCACGAGAACCGAAGTACGCTCACGCAAACCAAGAGCACTATCGGGAAGGAGAGAATTTCCCCTACCCGATGGTGTTGTTAGTTTGCGTGGACGTATTCGGTTCGCGCAAAAAGGGCTTAACAAGTTTTGTGTACAAAAGTATTATTCATGTGTTCATTTTTAGTAAACAGGGCCCCGCTGTTGTGTCACTTTTTGTCGAGTGAATGAACTCAAATCCATCCATGCACTCGTCTATGCGCTCCGTATACACTAGACTCTCACGCGACTCCTATGATGCAGACTAGAAACATAGAAACATGAATTAAGAATTTTACTTATGCTACTTTCTAATCAGTGTCTGTATTTATATCATTTACCATCACACGCAGAGAGTAGCGCTTCAACCCAGTGTAACTGAGTTGCGTTTGTTTTGAAAATCCTCGC